CTACCCCCCCCCAATCCTCGGTGGACGAAACTGCGGCAGCTACAACCACTGTACGACGAGTACGCGGTTATTACAGCTGAAAATGATGATGATGATCAAAAATTCCAAGGTCATTACTGAAATTCTTAGGGACATGTTCGAAGACTGTATGTCCCGCAGTACGGTTTGGTACTTTGTGGATGCGATTCATACGCCGAAGGAATGGAAGACATTCGTGAGGTCCTTCAGTAGTGCTTGCGCATCCTGCTCATTTTCAAAAATTAGAATGATGTTGTCTGCATACTCTAGATCAAGAAGGACCTAGCTCGAAAAAAGTTGAGCACCCGGAGAGGTCATCCAGTGTTCGCTTCGTTATCTCATCAATGACAAAATTACACACGAATGCAGAGAGTACACATCCTCGTCGGACATGTTCTTGTGGGAAAACTTCTAGACAGTTCCTCCTACACTCTCACGCACTCACACAGCACACAAGAGATATTCACTGAAACACCCTTTTTACAAATGGGCGCCATTATTGAGTCATCCTAGTTAGTTGAGCCGGTCCATTTCGCCCAGACACCGGAAAATAAGTTGGGTAACCACTAACTGAGAATTTCACCTCTATCTTTGAACACAGTGGGCGGCAGTTCGTCAGAACCAGGAGCTCGGTGACGCTTGAGGGACAAAAGGCATTCGCTTACTTCCGAGGGTTCGAAGTTCACTGTTTAGGGCCGCGTTGCGGATCGGGAATCAAGCTGAGCAGGTGGCCAGTTGAATTGTCCTTGAAAGTGCTCGACTGAACTATTTAGACCGTTGTTATTAGTGTTTTTTTCACTAGCTGAAACATCCTCTGGGTTAGCGAGTATCACCTAGAACAGTATACGCATATTCACAGAGTTTCTCGCCTCCATCTTGTTAGCTTTCTGGATCTACGAAGCTTCTCGGTTTGCGCTAATTCTCTATTGCAACTGAATCTTGAAAGTTCGTCGAGTTGTACTGTGCTATCAACCAGGAAGAACAGGTGCCTGAGCTTCCACCATCGCTCGAGATCCAGTTGACCGTACGGTTACAACAGCGGCGCGTTCAGCACCTTGCAGGATTGCAAACAGTATCTCTCATTAAGGTCCACCAGCTTCTCATTGGCCAGGCGAAGTGTGATCCTATGGGCGCGACGAGGAGCAGCAACGAACAATTGTGTGTTCTGAATCCACAAAGGTTCCCCAGAACTAGCGACAGACAGTAATTGAGCCACGCCACCTAACAGTAATGGCGAAAAAGTGGGGCGGGCGTCAAGGATAGACCGTTTTTACTAACCCGATTGCTGTATATAGCAAGTGAGGTGACCCAGTTGGTGGCCCCACGCGATGACTGACGTGGCAATTTATGGTTTCACGTGAACTGGGATGCTCCCATGGCGCTTAGACCTGGAGGGGAGAATGAGTAGAATCATCGATCGAAACCTTTGATTTAAAAGCCTAACGCAAAGCAGCAACGGTTGGCGTCAGACCACCATATATTTCTACGGAACAGTCCACCACGCATACTTCAATCCCCAGACTGAAGGACAAAGGACTGTACTAGTCAGACCTCTAGTCATTGACCAACCTAGTATGAGAGACGCTGTAAGCATCACACCGCCATAAGGTCTTTGTGACGAATGAAAACCTAGCACACTCAGTCGAGCGCGAGAAAAGGGGGATACAATGGAAATAGTAACAGTGAGGGAAGAATCAACATGTGAATCTTCCCAACCAATTCGCGTTGACGGGTCACGTGAGACGTCTGAATAATTCGAGTGGAGATGACAAAGTCGAATAGATAACACTGTGTACACTCCTGATACAAAAAGCTTGGAGCTCTACTCCATGGATTGATTAAGAGTGAACACAAGAAGCGCTACAAACGAAGCAGTAGGCCAAGACATTTTAACCAACATAACGATGGAAGGAAAGGATAAATTAGTCTATTCTCAACACCGAAAATAAAGTAATTTAGTGAGGGAACTGAAAAATTTTGGCACAAAACTCATGGGATCCTGGTAATAAACAAACTCATTAAGACAGCCTGGAGCTCCCAAATCAAAAAGCACGTCTTGACGACGATGACCAACTTAAAAAAGCTGAATATAAATCAAGCTGTAGGATATCCAAGAAGCAGATAGGAAAATGAGAATGGCAATGAGAGGTGGCAAGTATTTCAATGAGGACAGAAAGAAACTTTCACATTGTGACCGAAGTGGAAAGAAACTACTCATAGCTGCGGGATTGGTATGAACACCGAATTCCAGAGGAAAACTTAGAGGAAATAGGAAGCCCAATTCCCCAAGCGAAACTTTCCCAGCGTTGCGTGTCGAGTCAGTGAATAGCCGTCGTTCACCTCGAAAGAAGCATGAGGACTGAGGCACTGCTCAAGCCTGAACAGGAGTAACCGAAAAGCCCAGATTGGGTTTGAACCATGGACACGCCAGTCCCGTGCCTTAACAGCCGAACTGCGTCGAGTTCAGCTGGGTTTCATGAGTGGGATTCCTAGAAACCGCCCGGAGGTAGGTGGCCATATTCTACACATCGCAAAGTATCTACGGCCTTAGCGTGAGCTGAGGTAAAGCACAAATGGCCCTGAGATTTCATATACTTTTGACCCATCTGTTTTTCAGTAAACTTGTCGTGCTCTCAGTACGTGCAACTACTGGTCAAGTTGAAAGTCCGGAAGCAAACCGGTGGTTTTTTGACGGGGATAGTAGTGAGAGGTAGCGGAGGCTGTGAGGATACCTGAGCTCGTAGAGAACGACAACTAAGGGTAGGGATTCAAACCCCAACCCCCAGAAGGGACTGATGGTGAACTACAAATGCAATTACTAAAGAATCTCCGGAACTAATTCAAGAGAATAAAAAAACGGTGTGAAATACCCAACCTGGGACTAATTTATGGCGGTAGAGTTTGCGGAACTTTGTGCGCGGAGGTATTGTCAGGGGCCCTAAACTTAAACAAAAGAACAACCACAGCCCTTAACGGAAGCCTTTGGCTCAAAGTCCTGACCGAAGTGAAACGGTGGCTAGCACGCGAGCGCCATATTAGTGTAGATTTCAAGGAACGTGTTGCGGTCGCTATTCCAACCCCCAACATGGAAGATCAGAAGACTTAATCTGGTCCATATCAATGGACCGACCTGGCACGACAGACTCTGAGGTGTCACACTGAAAGCATCTAATATAGCTCGGAGGGTCACGAAGAGGTAAAGTTCATTCTCTTTGGGACGGACTCTGCCGCACCACAGACTTTTCTGGTGCGACATGGGCGCTTTTATTCCTTCATAGAGGGATATGGAAGCATCAGACCAGAAATTTACGTCACTTCACAGCGACTTTTCACACCGTCAACGTAATCCAATCAGGAAGAAGTTTAGCGCAAGACGCTAAGCCATCAGGGTATTGTTTAAATGAAAACTACAATAACAGACGTGACACTTAAACATCCTAATCTAGGGATCTCAGGCAGGCTGCTAGAACTTTGCACAGCACACAGCAAAAACTAAGACACTTCAACAAGGGATAAGAGATCGATTGTGAATGCAGAATTTTTAAGACAAAAGAACTAAATACACGCTCACTATTGAGTGCTCGAACGACGTTGAACAAAATTCTTCAAGGTCGTCATGGAGGATATCGCTGAAAGTGGTATACACAGACCCAAGTCCATCAACTCCTTTGGAATGTTCGTTGTGATTTCCGGAGTGGAAGGCCTGGAAGGAGTAGTGGTGGCCGTGGCGGTTGAGGAATCGCCAGTGGCACCACGATGGTGAGGACTGTTCTCAGTAGAAGATAAGGATGGGTGCTGGGCCAGATAGGCACGCCTCTGTGCGAGCGCCAACTGCGCAGCGTCAAAACATAGGGCATCTGGGGTGATTAGGAGGATACCGTCAACCAGTTTATGGTGAGGACTGTTCTCAGTAGAAGATAAGGATGGGTGCTGGGCCAGATAGGCACGCCTCTGTGCGAGCGCCAACTGCGCAGCGTCAAAAACATAGGGCATCTGGGGTGATTAGGAGGATACCGTCAACCAGTTTCTGACGGGAAAAAATTGAACGAAAAAAAAGGATTTTACCGTAGGGTGACCACAAAAAACGATCACCGAGCTACGCAAGCACAATGCTCCTAACTTGTGAGGAACGTCCACGGTTGCCAGTAAAGGCGTTTTTATCGTTGCTTATCGAATGAGGTCTACTGGAGAGATTGAATTTATTAGAATCCTGGGTGTACTTTGTAATGCTTCGATGATAGAACGTTTGAAGCGAGGCGTCAACTTGTGATTCAAGACTTCTGACCATCCGAAGCCAACATAGTAAGTCAAAAAGTGAAACCTAACTGATGTATAAGACTCTGTAGGGAAGCTAACTTTCCAAGTCCCGCAAATGCATTGTTAAGTTCATCCATGAATTCTTAGTAACCCCCTCCCATTTGAGCGACACCGAATTCGAGCAGCACTACCTGTGTCCATTGCCAAACAACGTGCTTTATTGCACCTTTGATTTTAGAGTTTAGGCCAACGTGAAAGGAGTATCTCCACATCCAAGTGCTTTGATTCGCTTCACTGGTGACCTACTGAGTTAGTTAGTGAGGCTCTCATTCATCCAGTAATCAGAATGTTTTCTCTGACCACTACAGCAAGCATTTCCGGGCTCCTTCCACCCCTAAGCATCTCGCTTCTCGGCAGACCAAGAAAACAGAACTGTCCCCTGAAAATTCACGATTCTGGTTATCAGTCCCTGATAACTCCTTTAAATGATTTCTAATACACTCCAACTCTCATATCTGGTGAATTTACAGCACCAGCAGAAATTCAGATTCTCAACCAAACTACTAGCCTGTTGTTCCCACAGTTTCTCCAAAACCTATCTGTTATCTGTCCACCCCAGTGGAGTCCGAGTTTGCATTTGCTTAGTTGGCCTAAATGGGTAGCTTACCACGAAGAAATAGGTTCAACTTGGACAGTAGTCCCTGAAAAAGATGGTTCACATCGTTGAAATTATTTGTTAACGTTTTATAGAACAAGCGACGGACAGTTGATAGAACCCCGCAGAATGATAAGTTGACTTCAGTACAAAGGATCCCGCGGAAAAATAATATGATATTTCGTTTGAACAATCGTCCTCCTGTCCTCACGCAATCATTTTGGTGAGTCCACACCAACACCCGAAATAGGATATTTACCGCATTGTCGATAGTGTCTATAGTTCCCGAGGCCAAAAACAACATCTGAGTTGGACTGACCCGTTTGGTAGCACGAGTTATCTTCACACTGGAAAAATAAATCAACCAGAATAGACGATCTGAAGAGGAAGTACCGCAAGGAAAATACCCCAGGTCATTAACACAGGTTTAATCGGTAATTATCACATCATAGCGTTGATATCATCAACAATGCTGATGCTGACTTATTTCATTCGGATTGATTTGTACGCTTTTTAATCATGTCTCAGGCACACGACCTATTGCTTTAGGGGTGACATATGGAAACGGTCCCACATGTAAGACAGTAGGTGATGATAATGAACAGTGAAACTGTAAATTGCGAAGTGACGATATCTGCAACAAAACTGAAGGCTTTCCGTGACGATGAGGAGTGGAGTCAATCGACCAAATACCAAGAAGATGGGAGGTACCAACTAAGGATCGTTAAGCACCCGAACGCTCCGGGATCAGCTGATAACGGTTAAGGCAAAGACCTCTCTACACGACCTGGCTTGTTGTGCCATAAAAAGCTAGTCACTGCGTGAATCTAAAAGCAGTGGAAGAACTGGAACATGCTGGTATAGACAAACTAGAACGCACCAAACACACGTGCTACTGACAACCAAATAAAAAACAAAATGTGGTCAATCATTGCGCCTCATGTCAAACATGTGTGCACCTCAACAATCCAACGGGCCGAAAGAAACAGTGAAAACCAGCAATCCGAATGAAATGGTGTGGTGATATCATAAGAACGGTAGGAAAAACACCCAGAGGGAACGAGTACAGACCGATACTTGTGGAGTATTTCACTAAATAGTGCAAGAAGTTACCAGTTTGTCAGGTGAACGCAACCAATGTGGTAAATAGGATTGATTTGTCGCCTCAATGCATCCAGTGAACTGCATTCTGGTCGCGATTCAAACATTGAAAAAAAACTTCCGTGCACAAAGTATGCAACGTTCTGGAGATCGACGAAATCCATATGTGTAATTGGCCCGCTGAACGGATGAGCAGATCCATCAAGGCCCTCCCGATGGTATCTACTCAAAGGAACTCGAGCACGTGGGACCAATATGTCAAGGTGGCAAGATAGCTTTTTCCATAAGAGTTCGGTCAAGAAATTCATCGATCACAGCGTTTTCAAGTTGACAAGGCGTAAAATCAAGCTACCCAGTTAAATGCGAGTACCTATGCTATTCAGAGCTTGGACGCTTGCTATGAATCGCCCTTCACAAATGTGGGAAGCTCCACCCTCAACAAGCGGAGCTTTCTCGAGACCGCACAACGATACTAAAAGAACCAATATGACAAGAAGACATTTGCCACCCTGGTTCAAACCGCAGATGCCGTTTGGTTGACTAACAGTACCACTGACTCGAAGGAACCGCTCAAGCTCCAATGTGAGTGGGAAGGATCATATGTTCAGTTCAGTTTACCAGCTGTAAACCATGTACTAAAGGTACTTTGGTTCAAGATTACACAGATTCGACCACCAAAAAGTGAAACAGTGCAAGAGATACTGTCAAGCAGTGGGGGCGATGGCGTATTCAGCTAGTTGGAGAACTGAACAGATACGCCACTGACTGCGGTTGAACTATATCTCCCAGTGTCATCTCCTATTATGTCCAGAGGCCACCGGTTCTGGATAAACGAATACAACGTCAACTGGACGGATGTATCACGTGCGGACTAGAGTCTAAACGAAAACACGCACTGATTGATCAGAATATCAGATAATCAGAATCGAGCGTTTAGGCGCTGCCCTTTTCATCCCCTCACGAAGACATACCATAGTGGGGGAGCAGGAAGCCAAGAACTGACATGGACGTTGCACCATCGTTCACAGTACACAACAACCGGCGACAACCCAAACCCATAATGTCAATTTCAGCAGAGCAACTGAAAGTAATTTAAAACAGCGACAGATGCGGTTCGAAGAAGCTCAAATGAAGCTTGTTGACTGTCTGACGAGCGATGTGTCGGTGAATACGACAAAACAGTTGGGCCTCCAACTAATTTGAAAGATGCTGCTGTCCACTTGATTATTGAATTCCATCTGGAAACTGAATCTGAACGAACTTTTAAAAGCTGTCTCAAAAAGTATGGGGACTTTTCAAGCGGACTTTGCTCAGTTTGATGATATGTGGAAATTTCGTAAACTGGGGACATCTGCACATGATCGGTTCTCCCCAAACTCCGCCATAACCTTCGTTTCGCAAGTACGATCGAGATCCTGACCTAAATTTTCGGCAAGCAGAGTTCCTTGTTCAGTATTCGTTATCAGTGTCTCGAAGTTACCAACAAGTAGAATGAGGATATCATCACGTAGGTCGGTGAGGTCAACGAATAATGCGAGTATTTCAAGCTCAGCAACAATTCAATCATCTCATTTGCATGGGTGGTCTTCAATCGCCACACAAAGTAGATTTTCAACCGAGTTACTTAATCGAATTGAACAGAATCAAGAAGTAACATTTCAGGAACTTATCACTGAATGTCAACATCTTATGAAACTCAAGGCTGATGCTGCAACGACTAGTCCAGTCCTCTTAGCCTGACATAGTATGCAAAGTAACTTCCAAAAGATAATCAAATTTCAAAAGGACATCGAGGAAAAAACCTGTTAGTTTTGTGATGAATGACACTTCACGCCCCTGCCCCTACCGTAACCACAGGTGCAGCAAGCGCAGTCGAAAAGGCCACCAAGAAAATACTGAGAGCTAACTTCAGTAGCTGGCCTAAGCATCGGCCCGATAAAAGGAAGCGGGCAGAGACCATGGTCGCAATATTCAGGATGAAACTACCCGGCCGACGGAAATTCGTCACAGTGTGTATCAATGGCACGCCGGTTCTGGCTTCATTCTGATTAAGGGAGAGATGGCTTAATCGTTAGAGCGCGAATCAGAAGGCCCGTGGTTCGAACCAGACCCCTGTATCTCGACTTCCCATGTTTAGGCTTGGGAAACCTGGCAGCATCCCAGCCCTTGTGTTTCCTTCTGGTAGCATGGGAAGTAGGCACTGAAAGGATGCTACAGCTTAACGATTTTTTCCTCACTGTGATTTCAAAACGAACCTGGAACGGAATTCGAAGGCCACCAATGGAACACAAGGTGTGTCGTTCGTAATACGTCTGGTGGAAGCCTCAAGCTGGCGCCTACCACCTCATTAAATACATAAGCCTCGATCACCTTCGCCCGGATTGAATTAATGAACTTCAACCCTTGGATCAACCCCAAATCGTGTTTGTAACGAAACGACTGAAGATGGCCGCAATACGTTCACCGGAACACCAAATTCTGACTAGTTTATGGTCAGTACAGCCAAATCGGAGACCAGTGGGAACGTACGCGAAGTAGCGGCTTTCAGTTTGTGGCGTCGGGTACCGACAACCTTCTCAGTTCAGTCCAATTTGGCGATGTTGCAGCCACAGTTTCCACTCTTCAATCTACAGTCTCATAGTCGGGCAGATCGTTTTACTGCTATCTGGAAAGTCACGAGGAAGGGACCATCAGGAGAGACACCACAACAGTCACACAGAGGTGAATGATGTCAGTGGTGGACGCAGGGTCAAATACTACGTCAAGCATACGGCGCAAATCAGCTCACATGCACGGCTACGTCAAGCGATTCAACTTCAGACAGCACAGTGGAACCACGCCGCATGGAACCCCGGAGAGCCGTGATAAACCTTATAAGGGCAACAAATCCCACAAGATTCTCACTGCGTCAGAGGTGGACCGACATCCGACAGCTCCCCCCTGAGCCGTCACAAATGAGATTAAAGCAGCGTCCTCAAGTGGGAGGTGTCTGGATGCCAAATGCTCTGGGCCTGGGCCATTTCGCTTGGAAGGTGTGATATGTAATGGTGGATTCGAATCGCTGACGCGGACTGTTGTACATGTACCATTCACTCCCGATGGGTTCCTCCGGTGGTTTTGTTGAAGGAGACCAGCTGGAATGTTCTTTGAAGTATTCAGCCCATCGCTCAAGACGAAGATTTTGTGAGTGAACAGCCGTTCCGTCTCTTCCGGACAGCATTTCGCTGACACTTGTTTTCTTTTAACTGGTTGACCGAATCAACTGGGTCTCGATTCTGCCAGCAGCCAAAACCTTCTCATTGTCTGGGCCTTCAAAATCCACCAGCGTTCTCTCTGAAAACATAGCTTTTTAAGGCATTTTTAAGTCGCGTACATTCAACTTCCGACCAATCTTCATCATCAGCATGGCTTTGCGTTTCCAGTAGCTTTACAGCCAGGTCAACTGGGACCCAGCCCAGTAATGCACTTTCACCTTTGAGATTAAGTGCAACTACCACACAAGCAACTACCACAAACCAGGGCTTGGGTTAGGATCGCCAGATAACCGAAGAGTGAAATGTGGAACATCTCAGCTCATGCTAAGCGGTTTGAGGTGCACAACCGAAGTTGGATCTGGCTTGCATTTTTCGGACACCAACAGACATCGGAAAAGAAACAGGGTTTCACCAAGAGATGTCAGTTGCTCAATTCGGCATGAATTACGGACATTAGAGGCTGCAATAAGAATCGGGTCTTTGAAGTTTAGCAAGGTTTGAATGCGTCTAGACACGGAACAATGACTATAGGATTGGCAGATCGGTTGACTGTTGTGCACCATACGATGGGTGTGGAGGGGGTGTGGGTGAGGGCCCAGACCGAAAAAAGAGATTTGGTTGGACTTTTTACATAAAATGGTCCTCAAGGATAAAGGAGGATATAGGGTCTTGTTCGTGGACATCCCTCCTAGCCTCTGAGTGAAAAGTCTGGACAGCGAGGCGGTGGATATTAGAGTTTTCTTGAGAGACTGTTCCGGGAGTCAACCAACAACTAGTCTGACTTGCTCGACTGCAGTAGGGATGGGCTAGTCCGAGGTCACAGGGAGTACGGCGTAAGTGTTTGGCTCCTAATGCGGTTGCGCACAGACGATACCTTCCGACCGTACTGATTATTCACGGTCAACCGTTGGGCAATCGAGTTGTACGGTTTTCAGAACTGGCCCTTTCTAACCCATCCTTGCTCAGAGGAAGGCAGCACGGAGGATATAGGATTTCGTTCGTGGACGCCCCTCCTAGCCTCTGAGTGAAAAATATGGACAGCGAGGCGGTAGATATTAGAGTTTTCTTGAGGGACTGTTCTTGGAGTCAACAACTCAATAGTCTGACTTGCTCGACTGCAGTAGGGATGGGCTAGTCCGAGGTCACAGGGAGTACGGCGTAAGTGTTTAACTCCTAATGCGGTTGCGCACAGACGATACCTTCCGACCGTACTGATTATTCACGGTCAACCGTTGGGCAATCGAGTTGTACGGTTTTCAGAACTGGCCCTTTCTAACCCATCCTTGCTCAGAGGAAGGCAGCACTGCTGGTTCCATAAATATAGAGGTGCTGGTAGCCTGAAGGAAACTCTTTATCGCCTTCACACTCCCTTCGCAAAAGACAGTACGACTTCAGCTCCAGGCTACCTTGTAATACGACTTCTCACGGTACGATGATTAGCTGTTCTTTGTCGGACTGCTCCCCATTGGCCCTTCAGGAACCTGACTAGAACGGAGTTCCAGCTTTTACAAGTAAACACCGTTCAAGCACGTTCAAATGCATGGTCCCACGGAGATGTGAACATACGATAGGTTGTTTAGTGTATCTGACTTTTAACCGACGACTTTCTGCGACTCGCTAACAGACAACTTGGGTTGCGAGGCTTGAAACACGGCCACGTGAGTCGATCGACCGGACGATTATATGTGATGCTGCCCAGCTAGATCTTTTCACTTGAGGAAACTTCCTGGCGATACACCTAATGGATACGGAATAAGGTTTGCAGACAATATTCATTGACCTATTGGGCCGAATCAGGATATCTGAATACTTTGACCACTAGCGCTCAGTTGAGTCGACTAAATATCTACCATCATGAACATTGTTTATCCTGTAACTTGCTGTCGTCCAGTGAAAACAGTAGATGTAGCCGTTGTCTGTGATTAAAACATTATACCTAGTAAATTCGATGCTCGTCACATAAGTTCAACAGTGGTATGTTTGAAATTGTATCCTTGGAAAACAAATTCGGCAGCAGAAATATTAACACAACGTACACTTCTTGCAGTTATGCTTAAAACTAACCGCGGTTAACGGCAGTAATGCAGCAATTGCCAGAGGATCACACCTAGTGGGACATATTATGGTTGGGAAAAACATTTAGAGAATCAACTTGAAAAAAGGGACTTTATATGGGCGGGAGAAAAACTAAAGCGAAAACACTCACGCCATCTGAAAGAAGGCGTTGCACAGGGACCTTGACAAACTGCCGCTCGTACTCCTCATCTATCCGAGAAGAATCCGAGTTCGTTCGAAGTGTCTGGGAGTAGAAATTCGGATTAACGTTAAAATCGCATTCAGAGGAGTGCTGAAAAGTTTGGATAGTGGTTGAAGCCCGGACTCGAAGTGCTGTTCCAGGAGCCCGACGTATCTTCAGAGGCTGCAATCAGATGGTACAACCAGGTTAACAAACGTGTAGGATGTGTGTATGTGTGTGACACAGGTACTTCATGGAACAAGATAACCTAGAAGACGTTATTACGAGTTTTAAAAGCCGCCACCCACCCCCTTCCCGAGACCAGCATTAACCGTGTTACTCTTAGAGGTGGGCTCCCTTCGGAAGGGTTAACTAAGTTTAGCCGTGAGCGTGCCTTTCTCACGGTTGTGTACTCACGAGCCATACAAAAAAGGGGCTGGTACGGAAAAGCTTCATCCGCAATCCGCATATAGTTTATACTATAACGCTTCAACAGATGCATCTTCATAAAGGACCAACTTTCGTTGGCTGTGGAGAATAAATTCAACCTAAATCAATGGTAGTGGGATTCTCAATCGGTAGTGAACAGGGCATAAGATCCAGAGATAATTTCAAACTTCACGCATGAGTTACAACAAGTTCCTCACCGAAAAAGCCCCTACTACAAAGATACTCTATCGAAGACAACCGCGCGGCTGTACGTGGTAGTTTTAACAGCCCGGACATTGAACTCTCTAGAGTACAACCATCCGTCTAGTAAGAGAAAAAGTGGTTGGCTTTTTCAAGTTCGCACTTGTGAGGGAGTACCGTACTCGACCAGAGAATTGCACGTTGCACCAGACATTTGGAACGCAGCAGCTGTTGGAAACGTTACTGAAAGCGATGAGAAGAAGAGCACTTTAATGCAGACCGTTGCCTATTTACTTAACTTATTGATGCTTACTCCCGAGAAAGGATGGGTAGAATCGACGAAACTGAAGACACCTAAGCATACTGGTATCGTTTTTCTTTATTATCATCGTCGTCGAGAAAATAAGGGGTTTTGTTTACCTAAAATTGAATTGCAAAACTGATCTACATCATCGCAGGAAAACTAAACACTTTAACGATCCTCTCGCCCAAAGCCAGTAGCGGATTCAAGTATTTTCGTAAAAGCATTGAATTCAATCTAGGAAGTAGTTGGTCCAGACTTCTTCTCATATTAGTGATAACCGCTTAGCCTGGACGATGGTCAGTTAAAAATACACCCCAACACGAACAACTCCAATCACATTCGATCGAGGCTAGTTAACAAATTCACACGCTAAACTGGACTTTCCAAGGTACACACACAACTCTCAAAAAAGTACGCCAATAAATCATGTTACAGATAAAGTTCTCTAAGCTACAATATCACAAAGAGGTTGCATTTTCCTGCGAGAGCTACAAATAAGATCCGAGAGGCCGGAGAGCCTCGCACAACCAATAACTTCGATCGGTAAGTTTTATCGTCAGTTTACTTCTTGTTGTAATTCTAGTCCCGGCGTTTGTTCAAATCGTTGTTTAGTTTGCACGAACTGTGTCTTGTACGATCAAAAAAGAAACCGATTCCCATCCAAGAGAACCCATCTGGTAATTTACGACGGAGCTCTTAGCTGACGAGCCAGATTACTTTCAATATATGGGTGCTCTGATACAACTGCTTCAAACAGTATCACCTCAGTAGATTATTGCCAGCTCCGGAGTGCCTTTTTTCTGGCGAAATCAGTAAGGCTATTTTTTAAGGGATTCATCGGATGGATACGTCCGATTATTAAAACAGATAACAAGTGGGCGCCGAGCACTTGCCAACTAACAATGAATACAATACCCAGTAAATCATCTTGGACAGTGGCACACATGGACGACACCACTGTTGTGAGTAGCCCACTAGAAGAACAAAAAAATACTTGGAACAGCTGATACAACAAATCAGGGGCATTTTAGAATGGAAGCAGAGGTTTTTGACGTTTCGGATTAAATTAAACCTAGTATGTCTAATGATTGGGAACCCAAGACACCGGAGATCCATGCCGAGTACATTGTTCTGGGAAACCTTAGAGTTGCAAAGTTCGAGCACACATTCAAGATAGGCCCCACGGTATGCTCGAACCACGGCTTCCCGTTAACCGAACGGGTGCTCATCCAACTAAGCGTTCGAGGGTGCCTGCTGTCTCATTTTTATGCACCTGAGCTTGCCATATGATTCACTACGCCTCTGCTTATGGGATTAATAGCTCGTACCAGTCATCAACCCTGGTATCTTTCCGGTAACCAGGATGTCGTTTGTTTGAGTCCAACTCCGTTTTATTTTGCACTGAGTGAGCTTAGACAGAACACTTTCAAGGATCACCAGATCTCTCTTTATTCCAAATCGGTTTACGACAATACCTTTTGGGTGTCTGGATAACAGAAACATCTAGTCTACTGTGAAAATCACATCTGGGGCTCCCCAGTGGCACTCAAAGACACAGAGAGACGAGGCGAATCACGTTTGAAGTTAAAATGCACCACCGAGAAGTAGAGCGGACGACCTTGGTACCCAAGCTGACAGAACCCCCGACCGACATGCAAGAGACAGTTGGTTTAAGTGCAATTTTAGTTGCGTTTTTCACTCTTACTACGTGTTTCTAGGTTTTACACTTTTACGAGTAAAGGTTAGCCTACTACCTACTGGCAACAAGTCGCTATACATTCCCAGGGCTTGTGAATGACCAAGACACTCAGATTGATTTCACTGGACCCGCCCACAAACTTTACTTTCCTGTTATTGTGGATTCATGCTCCAAAGGGTCAGATGTTATTTCGACTTCCCCAACCAGTTAAGTTCTATGATTTTCAAACACAAAGGTCTTGATATCTCTGGATAACACACTTGGTCCACTTCGGCTGAAGTACATTTTCAGTCACTGCTCACCAGTCCAATGATAAGGCGCCAGAATATGTTGGCACCACAGACACGGAAGGGGAATGGAAGCTAAGCGGAATTTTAGGCACCAATTTTCGGACACTTTTTAAGAACGGATTCACTTAAACGTGGATGAAGTCTTTTCTGACACGACGAGTACGAACTAGCTGCGTCGATTTGCAATCACACCAAACAAAAGTGAGATAGACAAAAGTGAGATGAATTCATAAGTGTGAGGGCTATTTAACCGCTGCCTGGGGTTCACGTACCAAACTTTCACGACTGCGAGCCTAGACGGATGTGTGTAGTCGTATGTTGGCACCACAGACACGGAAGGGGAATGGAAGCTAAGCGGAATTTTAGGCACCAATTTTCGGACACTTTTTAAGAACGGATTCACTTAAACGTGGATGAAGTCTTTTCTGACACGACGAGTACGAACTAGCTGCGTCGATTTGCAATCACACCAAACAAAAGTGAGATGAATTTATAAGTGTGAGGGCTATTTAACCGCTGTCGGGTTCAGGTACCAAACTTTCACGACTTCGAGCCTAGACGGATGTATGTAGTCATCAAAAGGCACGTGGGCCACCTTTTGTACGAAACGGTAGCTGGAAGCAACGTCATCGTGCCGCAGGTCACCCACATCAACCAAATTATGCAAACAAAAAACTCAGACAATGATGGTTTTACCTTACTACGTTGTTAGACCACTGGAATTATCCAAGCAGCTGCGGGAAAACACGCTAAGGTTTCTTTCACTTCTGAACTCTAAACTCCCCGGCTACCAATCAGGCGACATGACCGGGATCCTTCTAAGAAGAAGTACACAGAAGGCTTGATTCAAAGAAAAGAGGCGTTGTGAACATTAGCATATCTTGCAACTCAAAAATAGCACAGACGGTCTGATGCGCGTAAGCGAATCGATCATCCACGTTAACCAATGATTGAAGTATCGTGTTGATTAGTTCGATCAGTCGACTAAGGATCACTTACTGACCGGAAGGTCTATGGTCTGAAGTAGGCCGTTTACTCGTCTCATAACAAAACGTAGGTATAAATGCGGATTTTGTACGTATGCTGACGAAACACAACACCCATTGTGCACTGATTCATAGGAATGTTGGACACCATTGCTATGTATACCTGGGTATGTTACAAAGGCCCCGGAAATACCAGTCATAAGAGCAAATATATCCTAACTGGGACTCACAGGGCACGCTTACTAGGTTATTCGTTTCCGCCTTTTGCCACGCCTCCGCTGATCAGTTTGTGCTGCCAGTGAGTTTGACTTCACCAGTAATCTCTGTTCCAACTAGGTGTCATCTGACTACTAATTGATGGTCACTTATGTTTCCTCACTAAGAAGATCTGAAGGTTTTCATCGTGTGCAGGGAATTCCTAAAGACGATGAAAACCTAAATGGGCAACAAGCTTAATATTGCGGTATCAACCGACCTATGATATGGCAAGATGTGGTCGGTTATTCAAAAGGGCATATTGTTGCAATAGAACTGTAAATAAAAGCATTTTGCGAGGCATATCTATGTTCGTATCCAGAATACGGTGAGTAGTGTGCCAACGTAATTCGTTATTCTCTACGCCGGATCCAGCAGAAAATCCGGAGAGTAAGCCTCTGTCAAACAAGTTTCATAAGTCGTATGAGTTTGGTCACGTGCTTCATCCCACGGACGGAAATCCCAACCGGATGGTTATCGATCAAACCAAACGATGGATTCGGTAGCATTGCTCAGCTTAGTTTTCATCTGATTGTGAAATTCTCCAGGCAACCAAGACGTCTATCTATCTATATCGATGTGCTCACATCCAACCACCAAGCTAGCATACAATGTTTGTCTACGACAGATTAAAGCAAGTGCGAAAAGTTGTGCACATCGAACGAAGTAAGACACCTGTGACACAGTTGATCGGAATTCCCAGTTCCCATTNTTTGTCACCAAATGAACTGCCTTTACTAAATTAGGGGGCGAAAATTCCGAAACAACCATCGATTCATCGTAAACAAATACACGGGAAAATTTGCATATTGCTCAGTTTGTGGTGCTTCACACGACTTCGTTTTTATTTTGTTACAGAGAGCTTGAATTCCATATCTGAACGACAAATTTGTTTTCTACCCTACGTAGATATGATGCCCGGGTGAGTGGTTGAGTTTGATTTTTGTAGGTTCGAGTTCTGTCCTAGCGATACTGTGTCTGTAGGGTTTTCCACAGTGACCCCGACTGGAAATAAACAAACCACACAGTTCTCAAGTGAGTTCCCCTCGGGTGGTTGACGACGTCCATGGTTTGGACATTGACACGCTCATGTCTATGACTGGACAGCCCAGCAGTATCTCAGAACATGGGTTTCTTTGAGTTTGCATTAGTCGTGCACTGAATGCATGAGGAAATTATTTTTTTTAGTTGAAGGTGGTCACGGGATTTGTAAAGTTCACGTTCACATTACTCCCGTTTAAAAAGTCCACCTTCCATCCGCGCACAATCTTTGTGAGGGAAAGCCGGTTTCAAGCGTCCTTGGTGCTGCCTGACTGGGAATTTCTGAAACAACCAGCAGTGTTGCTGGGGAAACCAATTACATCGCTCAAGTGTAGACAAGTCCACTTTCAGAGTGCATTGACGGAGTAATGGTAACACGTTCGCCTCGAATTTCAGGGTCCGGAGTTCGAACCCCGACAAAACCAAGGATATGCATTGCTGGTAGTTCTAATAAGAGCAGAATTAGAGCTCAGTGCTTGCACCGTTTGAAGTGGACTCACCAAAATAATTACACTAGGACACCAGATGGGCTGTTCAAACGAGAGTGATGGGAACGAACAAACTATTTTTCCTCTACCACATTGAAACTATGTGCTATATCAAGGTCGGTGATAAAATCACAGTTCTCTAACGAACAGAGACAGACGTAAGAGAGGTAGATCTTCAAACCCACTCTAGTCAACTTACTGCACCAATAATGTCTACCCGACCAATTCGAATAGTAGCGTCAAAACCGAGCTAGTTTGAATACATCAGTGGATAGGATTGCTCTGACTCTTCTGACATCCAACAAGTGAGGTTGACATGAGTCACTTGAGGACGATAGTGGGCTAAGCTGCTGTCCAGGCACTCTAGTTAGCGTGATCATCGCCATCTGAAACTTTCCCACTGCTTCGGTTGGGAAAGGATTTTGGATCATCGTTGTGATCCGCTGCTACCAACAAACACGAGAGAAGGGTAGTATGGCATGCTAGATAGACACCCATCTGCCCCTTCAGCGCGTTCATAACTGAAGACTGTTCTCTCAAAACAAAGCATGCTTCGCCAGCAGTAGAAGTGCACATTGGCTTATAACCAAATCAAGAGGTCTGCCCTCCAGTATGAGAAGGTTTGCTTTCTGCGTTTCACAATACATAACAACTCACTTCAAGAGAGATTATCATGGGAACCGTCCTCGAGGGTTATTTAAGTCATACTGATTTGGCACATCAATGCAATATTACAGCCCATGTGCTTCAGTCTTAGCTCCGAAGTATCCTCATGTTCCTTGCTAACGACGGGTTTTCCACAACCCATCAAGCATTTATCGTGTACTATTGACGTTGGGTACCAACTTAACTACAGGATTATTAGATTTACCGGTCAAGCCGAAAAAACGCAGACTAAGGACTGGTTTTTAGCCCGTTCGACAGTCGGCTTGAAAAACTTGTATACACAGTTCGCTATTTTTGCATGGCAAAAAGCGATTGGCTGAATAAAGCAAAGATTTCATCTTTTACAGTAGAGGCCTATCAACCGATTGAGCGAAAACTATCACCCGCCTTTGGAGCTGAATTCTAGTGAACAATTTCTTTCAGTTATGCACTCTGGAAAAAAACATTTGCAGTGATCGCTTATGGACTAAACTGCCGAGAGTGCAACGGTTCCCTGCAGGTACGCATCACTACAGTGGTGATAACAAACAAAGTACAGCTGACAAAACGAATTTCTCTTTATCCTAATCAGTATGCTATAACGAAAGCGTTTTGTAAATCGGAGAATAAACGATAGTTTTGGGATTGGAAAATAAACTGTCTCACTAAAATAAACTGGCACCACTTATAGTTCTCTCGTAAACTGCCAAGTAATCCTGAATTAAGAGACGACGGGCTTTGAAGTCTTCATAGGAGGCGAAGGACGTCACACAATACAAGGGATAAAATGGAACTCACATCGAGAGATCCTCTATTCAACGTGGGGACCAGTAACTTTTGCCCAGGGAACACGGGTGGAAGTCCACAACCAATAAGTGAGAGTCGATTGATCCGGGCCAGTTGCGTCGGTGTAACATAACCAAACTGCGCAGCAATTGCAGATAGCGAATCACCGGGTTTAACCTGTAGTTGATATGCTACTCGATCCCAGAACAGCTTACCTCATACAAAATCGTATCATCCGAATTTGACTCCATGGTCCAAACAAAAACGAACACACGCGACCTCAACGGTAAGAAGCGTTCACATTCGTAGCGAAAAGTCGCTTCAAGTGGAAAGTGAGAGAAGGGTCGCTATTAATTAAATCAACCAGCTTGCTAACAATTCATTGTATTGGTAGTCTAAAATATACAGGATAGTGGCTAATGGAGCTCTGGAGGAGCGAGAAGTGCGTGCAAGCCTATGCGAATGCAATTTCGTGAATTTTCGACAAAAAGCCATCATGAAAGCATTGCACACCCAAGGCATTTAACGCCAAAAAAATGTCCTACTCCGGTGGATATCATTTCGGGAGAAAGTTTGCTGTATATCCGTAGGCACCCAATGGAGTTCACACGCAGTGTCCTCAGCCTTCATAGCTTCATAGTTTCTGACAGTCGACAGATTCAGAAGCAGTTTTCAGGTGGCAGTGTCCTCATCATAGCTTCATAGTTTCTGACAGTCGACAGATTCAGAAGCAGTTTTCAGGTCAAGATAAACCACAAATGTTGGAAAGAGAGAGACTATTGAGAACCTAACCCAAAGTAAACATGTGGCCAACGCAATCCCGATCAGGGTGAAATCCACTTTGGACGTCATGAAGTTGCCTCTCCCAGCAATCGACAAACATGTGTAAAACAATACCAGAGAGCACTTAGAATGTTGGTGACGCGGTGTCTTTGTCATTCGGTCATTTCCTTCGCGCGGACAAATTGGCTTTTTGGATGCCTCACACCGCAGCCGCCGAACGAAGGAGGTTGTCAACAAGGTTAGGGCGGATGTCAAATCAATGTTTGTCCCGGGGCCGCAGGCCGTACAGAGCTGCATACCAAGAGGTTCATGAGTGGTCTTAACAATGTCGAACCGAGTCTGCAACTAATGATCTTGACCCTGGGGTGGTCTAAAAGCAAAAACACCCCTGACGACGTCGGTATGTGGGCGGCGAACGTACAGAATTCATCGGAATCAATGTTGTTGGAATCCGCGCGGGAATCAACCAATGCCAAATATCGACGGCGAAACTCTTCAATTTGTACAGTCTTACGTACGCACTATGAGAACGTTTTCCAAACACAAGTGGTTAGAGATCTACATATTTGGAGTGTGCGAGACACGCATACACATTTCAAGAGCGTAAATTAGAATAGATCTGGCGGCAGACTGACAAATTCGAACCCGTCTGAATATCATTACTTCTCTGTGCCATAGTGCACAGTTCAGTTGCAGCAACACCCTGCAAGCATTTTTCAGGCGGGTTGTGGTCATCCGAAAGAATAGTTGGGCCGAAGTGTCTGAACTCGCAAACATTATCAGGCGCCACTCTACTTATTGCCAATGATCTGTCAAAGATGAGTTCTCATGGAGAACAGGCCTTACTTTTTGGGGCGTTGGCCCCAAGGCCGATGGGAGTGCATTGGCAGATACTACTGGGGGCCTGCTTAACCTGATTAACTTTGGAGCGATACCGTAAACAAAGCATGCTTCGCCAGCAGTAGAAGTGCACATTGGCTTATAACCAAATCAAGAGGTCTGCCCTCCAGTATGAGAAGGTTTGCTTTCTGCGTTTCACAATACATAACAACTCACTCCAAGAGAGATTATCATGGGAACCGTCCTCGAGGGCTATTTCAGTCATACTGATTTGGCACATCAATGCAATATTACAGCCCATATGCTTCGGTCTTAGCTCCGAAGTATTCTCATGTTCCTTGCTAATGACAGGTTTTCCACAATCCATCAAGCCTTTATCGTGTACTATTGACGTTGGGTACCAACTTAACTACAGGATTATTAGATTTACCGGTCAAGCCGAAAAAACGCAGACTAAGGACTGGTTTTTAGCCCGTTCGACAGTCGGCTTGAAAAACTTGTATACACAGTTCGCTATTTTTGCATGGCAAAAAGCGATTGGCTGAATAAAGCAAAGATTTCATCTTTAACAGTAGAGGCCTATCAACCGATTGAGCGAAAACTATCAGCCGCCTTTGGAGCTGAATTCTAGTGAACGATTTCTTTCAGTTATGCACTCTGGAAAAAAAACATTTGGAGTGATCGCTTATGGACTAACCTGCCGAGAGTGCAACGGTTCCCTGCAGGTACGCATCACTACAGTGGTGATAACAAACAAAGTACAGCTGACAAAACGAATTTCTCTTTATCCCAATCAGTATGCTATAACGAAAGCGTTTTGTAAATTGGAGAAAAAGCGATAGTTTTGGGATTGGAAAATAAACCCAAACGTAGAAAACTGTCTCACTAAAATAAACTGGCATCACTTATAGTTCTCTCGTAAACTGCTAAGTAATCCTGAATTAAGAGACGACGGGCTTTGAAGTCTTCATAGGAGGCGAAGGACGTCACACAATACAAGGGATAAAATGGAACTCACATCGAGAGATCCTCTATTCAACGTGGGGACCAGTAACTTTTGCCCAGGGAACACGGGTGGAAGTCCACAACCAATAAGTGAGAGTCGATTGATCCGGGCCAGTTGCGTCGGTGTAACATAACCAAACTGCGCAGCAATTGCAGATAGCGAATCACCGGGTTTAACCTGTAGTTGATATGCTACTCGATCCCAGAACAGCTTACCTCATACAAAATCGTATCATCCGAATTTGACTCCATGGTCCAAACAAAAACGAACACACGCGACCTCAACGGTAAGAAGCGTTCACATTCGTAGCGAAAAGTCGCTTCAAGTGGAGAGTGAGAGAGTCGCTATTAATTAAATCAACCAGCCTGCTAACAATTCATTGTATTGGTGGTCTAAAATATACAGGATAGTAGCTAATGGAGCTCTGGAGGAGCGCGAAGTGCGCGCAAGCCTATGCGAATCCAGTTTCGTGAATTTTCGACAAAAAGCCATCATGAAAGCATTGCACACCTAAGCCATCTTGCGCCAAAAAATGTCCTACTCCGGTGGATATCATTTCGGGAGAAAGTTTGCTGTATATCCGTAGGCGCCCAATGGAGTTCACACGCAGTGTCCTCAGCTTTCATAGCTTCATAGTTTCTGACAATCGACAGATTCAGAAGCAGTTTTCAGGTCAAGATAAACCACAAATGTTGGAAAGAGTAACACTATTGAGAACCTAACCCAAAGTAAACATGTGGCCAACGCAATCCCGATCAGGGTGAAATCCAATTTGGACGTCATGAA